ACCTTAGTGGGATTTGTAAAGTTTCATGTTACTCTGAATTCAAAGTGACAGAGTAAAATGTGAATTTTGTTAGAGCCAAATAAAGAGAATCAAAGTTGAGGTTAAAAAAAATAAATAAAAATGTCTTTATTCATTCTTCTCAGCCCATATAAAAGTGGCCATCAGTTTTATCTACTTTGACTCTCCTCCATAGTGGAGTAACAGAGAAGCAAAGAGTAAAAAAGGAATAAGTAAAAAATTTTAGGATAAAACAATAATAAAATGCTTAAGAACATTAATGGTTAAGAACATTAAATATCATTAAATATCATTTTTCAGTGAGTTAAAAATCAAAATTTTGTGAAAACAGAGCATATTGTGTTTCGTTTATCAAAGAATTAAAGTGAATGATGTTTAAAATTCAGCTACATATTCAAAGGCAGAATTTATGTTTTTGGACTTTCTAAATGCATCATAGACTTAAAAAACTGATTCTTATATAAAATTGGTTTCACATCAAAATTATTACATTCACATTATATTCTGAAATATTGAAAAAAAATACTTTCAGGGGCCAGCATTGTGGCACAGCGGGTTAAAGCCCTGGCCTGAGCGCTGGCATCCCATATGGGCACTGGTTTGAGACCTGGCTGCTCCACTTCCGATCCAGCTCTCCGCTATGGCCTGGGAAAACATTAGAAGATGGCCCAAGTCTTTGGGCCCCTGTACCCGCGTGGGAGCTCCTGGCTCCTGGCTTTGGATTGGCTCAGTTCAGGCTGTTGTGGCCATCTGGGGAGTAAACCAGTGGGGAAGACCTCTCTCTCTCTCTCTCTCTGCCTCTCCTCTCTCTGTGTAACTCTGACTTTCAAATAAATAAATAAATCTTAAAAAAAAAGAACAATACTTTCAAAAATAGTATTAACATTTATGTGAAACTGAAACACAACTGCTGTTAACATACGCATCATTTGAGTGCATGTAATTCTTCAGATCACCTAATGTTAAGTAAGATTGAATTTTCTGAGAACTTACTGAATATATTCTTAAATAGTCCTCTCATAGTCTTCAATTAAACAGGTGTATATTTAAAGAATTATAGTTGTTTGAATGAATTACGGATTTTTCATAAGATTGATCTGACTGGATATTTCCCTTTTTTTAATGCTTATTTTTATATTATACTGCCATGTTTAATCAAGTAAGACAGTGCTGTGCATATGTGTGTACACAAATACCTTCACATAATAATAGGTGACAGATAGATGGATTTTTAAATTTTGTTACAAATTGTCCTTCAGAGTCACATTTTTGAAGATTTAATGGATGTAGTCTTCAGGTTTTAATTTTCTTTTTAAATAGAATAGGGATTGCCTTTGATGGAGCTTTGTTTTCAAGAAGAATCAAATTGTAACACTAAAAACAAATTCGTGTATTCTTTTTTTATTTTTTTTTATTTTTTATTTTTTTTATTTTTTTTTTATTTTTGATAGGCAGAGTGGACAGTGAGAGAGAGAGACAGAGAGAGAAAGGTCTTCCCTTGCCGTTGGTTCACCCTCCAATGGCCGCCGCTGCAGCCGGCGCACTGCGCTGATCCGATGGCAGGAGCCAGGATCCAGGTGCTTTTTCCTGGTCTCCCATGGGGTGCAGGGCCCAAGCACCTGGGCCATCCTCCACTGCACTCCCTGGCCATAGCAGAGAGCTGGCCTGGAAGAGGGGCAACCGGGACAGAATCCGGCGCCCCAACCGGGACTAGAACCCGGTGTGCCGGCGCCGCAAGGTGGAGGATTAGCCTATTGAGCCGCGGCGCCGGCCAAATTCGTGTATTCTATTGGGCTCTATAAGTACACTAATGCAATTACCATGGGATCTGAATATTTAGAGGACTGTGTTGGAGTGGTACCTTTTAAGTTTAGCCAGAATCTCTCTGCATTTCTCAAAATCTCCTTTGCTATAAGCATCACATCCATATCTCCAGCATTTTCCCAGATTATTTCTATGTGTTTTTTTTTTGAAAATTTCATTTTCTTGCTCTAAGTTTTACTTTGTTAATTGGCATGTAATTATTGTGCATCATTACTAGGTGTGATGCAATGCTTCGGTAGGTCATCCACTCTTACTTCCTTGAAACGACCTGACTCTACCATTGTAAAGGTGATTTAGATCTAAACTCACCCTTGTTTTCCAGGAACATGATCAGATCCAAAGTCCTGGACCTGGTCTCAAAGGCTGTCCCTGAGGGGCCTTTGCCTGTTTGCTGACTGTCTCCTTCACTGTCTGCTCTCCCGCCCCAGCACCTCCTTGCCTTGGACACGCCGACTTCAGACAGTTTGCAGCTGTGTCTCAACCCTCTGGGACACCCAGAACTCAGACACTGCACAGCTCAGCCCTCACTTTCTGCATTTCTCTGCTCAGGCTCCACCCTAACAGAAAAGTCTCTTCTGCTCCCCCATCTTCCACCTGCCACCTTCCTTACTCTGCTGTTACTCTGCTTTACATCTTTCAATGCACTACACAGAGTGATTTTTAATTTCTCATCTGACTTTCCAGTTACATGGAATGCTTCAGTATAGGGAATAGATCTGTTTAGCTCAGTATGTTCTAGTTACTGCTCCATAAACACCTGCAGATTCAAGGAGTGAAAGTTATGAACACTGCGCCTCATTGAAAGAACAAGGTTTATATCAGTAAAATGGACAATGATTCATCCAGCAGAAGAGGAAAATAATTTTTGATTTGGAGCCGTGCTTTTATATGGATTATTCAGATTACCTGAATCCAACCTGATAAAGATATTCAACAATTTTTCAATTCTGAATTTTAATCAAATTAAAAAATATTTTAAAATTATCGAAGATTGAATAAACACAAAATGAAATGATATGGTTTCTTTATTCTTTATGAATTTTCATAAGCAAAAAAGGCAGACGATGGCTTCTTACTGTACTTAGGGTAGTTGAATAAAACTGGAGCATTATTTTCAAAGATTAATCTGTTTGGATATGATAAGATGAAGAACTATAGTTAACACTACACCTTTCAATTTTGTTTATTTTTTCTTCTTCTTCTTTTTTTTTTTTTTTTTTTTGACAGGCAAGTGGACAGTGAGAGAGACAGAAAGAAAGGTCTTCCTTTTCCGTTGGTTCACCCCACAATGGCCACTGTGGCTGATCCAAAGCCAGGAGCCAGTTGCTTCTCCTGGTCTCCCATGTGGGTGCAGGGCCCAAGCACTTGGGCCATCCTCCACTGCACTCCCTGGCCACAGCAGAGAGCTGAACTGGAAGAGGAGGGACCTGGACGGAATCCAGCGCCCGCAATGGGACTAGAACCAGGGGTGCGGGCGCCGCATCAGAAGATTAGCCTATTGAGCTGTGGCACTGGCCTCAATTGTGTTTAAAAATAATAATGGCAAATATTTTTCTAGATTGATACTGAGACATTAGTTACTTAATGGCAAAGATGGTAAATAGGTATAGATAAAAGTGAAAACAGAAATATAAATTACATGTCTATGTATGCAATACATTTATAACTATAGAAATATAAATAAATATAATATGAACAAATATGTATAATACTGGCTTTTGTAGCTCAATTTAACTTTGTAAATATACCTAATTCCATACATAATTGTATTACCTATTGATAGAAAATATTTTATCTTATTTCTCATATTATTAAGAGATTTCATGTTTCTTCCATTGGAATTGATGTGTGAAAGGCATTTAAATGTGTTTTTTTTGTGTGTGTGGGGGGTAGGGGTAAGGAGCCATTTTGGAAAACAAAAGGATGATGTTTCATTGATTTGCTTCAGAAAAGAAAATGGGGAAAATACCTAATCAAGGAAGGAGTGAGATGAATAAGAATTTGACACATCTTTCTAAGTGTAGCTTGCAAATTCAGCACAAATGCATAATGCTGTTGAATGAGGTGGTGTGGGTTTAATTTACTTATACACTAAACATAATTTATATGCAATAGTAGGGATAAAATGTGATAAATAATCTATATGAAAATGTGTTTCCTTTTGAAGATTGTTTTCATTGCCACATATATTATTTCCTTGTTAAAATTCAGCCCTCCTGAACAAATGTGGAAAAAGTAGACTGATTAATTTGAGTCAGTGCAAAAATATTTCTTCTGGGTTAAAATAATCCCGGTGAGCAAATGGCATGATGCACTGCAGCTGAGGACAGACTCACTGTAGAGACAAGCGAGGGGAAGTGCTGAACAAGAGGAGGTTCATTTTTCTGCTTGCACTCCTCGGCTGGAAATCCATACACTCCGCTTCATTATGCGGGAATAATCTACTCACCTCAAATCTGTTCCCAATTTTCCTATTTCTTGAATTTATACATCCCTCCTTGCCACTGCCCAAACAGAAGACAATACTGCGTATACTACAGATAACAATTTCTTTCTAATGGACCAACTAACTGCACTCACTCTCTCTCCCTCCATCTCTGTAATCTTTCTAATGACCAACTTACCCTTATAACACAGCTGTCCATCACAGCCCATCTGTTCTTGCTCTCCCTCTCTTTCTAATATTACTCTTTTTAACTTTCTTCATAATAATTGCTTGAAGCTTCATTATGAGCCTTTTTTATCTCTTCTGCTCCGCTGGCCATTACAGTTTACACCATCAATGTTCTTGCAGAGTGATATCATCCCTCAGGTGAATTATTTACATTGTCAGCAAATCAAAAAAGTGGTCAACAGCATGCCTGTTAGGTTTACAGTTTACTTCTAGGTCTGATTTTAAAATTCAAGCTCTGTCTATATTTATAGCAATTAAAAATAAAATTACATTTAAATTCTGGTGAAAGCTATATGAAATTATTTAATAAAATTAATAGGCCGAGTGCTTATCTAACACATGTACTTATTGAATCACAGAAGAGTGACGGTAGAAGTCAGTGATTCATAGTCATATGTTTCTGTGTAAAATATTTCTAAATAAAGGAAAATTACAATAACTTGCTATTTTTATAGAGTATTCAGTTGTCCTGCTGGCGAGGTACCTTTTTCAGTTTGATGACTCCTTCTTGTGTCTCCTCATCTGTGATGATGTCAAACAAGTTTCCCCCATCTCCTGGAACAATATTGTACTCAATTTCTGCATTTTGTCCAAAGTCAGGATCCACGGCTCTTATTCGTCCAACAGCTGAACCAACAGGGGAAGACTCAGGAACTTTCAGATGGAAGATGCCTGGTGAGACATGTATAATTCACATCGAAAGTGAAGTTAGCATTGAGTCAGGTTACAAGGCTTGAGAAATATAGTTTAGAAACGGTAAATCAAATTTAGAACATTATAATACAAAATGGAAAGGCAATTTGCTGTCAAGCTAAGGATTGTTATTAGGAATAATAGCTTCACTTCTCACTTTCGTAGTTCCTACTCCAGAATTTTAATTGGGCATCATAAATAGTAAAGTGTACTATGTTAGAATTACTGTGGAGAATTCTTTTACAAATTAACAGCATAGCTGTTATATGGGAGAGAGTAGGTGTAACCATGAAATTAATTGGTACCATGACAGTAGAATCCAGAATTCAAAAAACAAATTAAAAATTGACATAGATTGAGGGGCCAGTGTAGTGGCATAGCAGGTAAGGCCTCTGCCTTCAGTGCTGGCATCCTATATGGGTACTGGTTCATGTCCTTGCTGCTCCACTTCTGAGCCAGCTTCCTACGAATGGCCTGGGAATGCATCAGAAGATAGCCCAAGTGCTTGGGCCCTTGCTACCCACATTGGAGACCCAGAAGAAGCTCCTGGATTGGCCAGACCAGTCCCTGCCAATGAAGCCATCAAGGGCGTGAACCAGCAGATGGAAAATTGATCTCTCAATCTCTTTCTTTCTTCCTCTCCTCCCCGACCTGTATATCTGTATCTCCCTCTCTGTAATTCTGCCTTTCAAACAAATAAATAAATATTTTTTAAAAAAATTTACATAGATATTTTATAGGTAGGAGATAGATACTTAAGGATATGTTTTCTAAAAAAACTGTTTCAGTAAGTTTAAAATAATCTAAAAAAAATCTAAAAAATCAATTGAATTATAAACAACAATGGATTTAAATGAAGCATATATAGCCTAATCAATATATGTCTAGTAAATTTTAAATTGACATTCTGCCAAGTGCTTTTAATTAGCATATAAATTCTATCACCCATTTTTAATTAAATAAAACAAAAAAGTAAAATGCTCATTTTGACCACCAGGTGGAGTACTTACATTACTATTAAGTTGAATATGAATTGGAAAAACTAGAAAAATCACAATGTGTATAACTTCCTAGAATCATGAAGAAGTGTAAAATTTTGCAAAAATGAAAATATAAAAACAATTTTTTGATTTTTTAGAATTTTTTTAAATTATCACATGAAGAAATGATACAGTGTATCTATTTTACTGGTATGTAATCAAAACAAGGATTAATAGTTGAAAAGCCTATTCAAATAAATAGGTTAAACAACAATATATTCAAATAAAAATAAGTAAAGGAAGAGAGTGGGAGGAAATAAAAATATAGAAGCAAAACTAAACACAAATATTAAGTTTATTTTTTATATTGGACTTCCAGTTTCAAATTTTGTTAGTGGACTTTGGCACTTTTTATTAGTAAAGCAGTAATGGTGATTAGTATGTTGTGAAACCCTTACCAAATTTAAAGAAATTACATTGGGCAAGCATCCACATATTTATTGGATGATGAAAAATTCATTCAACAATCACATTAGAATATTAGAATTACTTGCTTCAATATGGTATTATGGGAAAAATGGGAAAAAGGTAATCATACCATATAGAGATTCTTCCAGATATTTGCTTTTCTATTCCCAATTGTTTTCCATAACTTAGTTTTTTTTTCTTTTGATAGGCAGAGTTAGACAGTGAGAGAGAGAGAGACAGAGAGAAAGGTCTTCCTTTTTCCATTGGTTCACCCCCCAAGTGGCTGCTACTGCTGGTGCGTTGTGGCAGGCACACTGCACTGATCTGAAGCCAGGAGCCAGATGCTTCCTGCTGGTCTCCCATGCAGGTGCAGGGCCCAAGGACTTGGGCCATCCTCCACTACACTCCTGGGCCACAGCAGAGAGCTGGACTGGAAGAGGAGAAACCTGGACAGGATCCGGCGCCTGGATTGGGACTAGAACCTGGGGTGCCGGCACTGCAGGCAGAGGATTAGCCTATTGAGCCACGGCACCGGCCAGCTTAGTATTTTTTTTACAATCAACTTCACAATTTGGTGATTGCATTAACTGTGGTAGCAATTAAATTTTCTCTGACCAACTTCACATTAATATATACCATTTGCTCTTATAAACTATGTTCATATTAGCCTTATTTACATCCAATGGACATTAACTCACTGGAATCGATATTTATTTTCAGGATAGCTAAATATTAACTAAAGCTTGTTTACTTCATGTATAAAATGAATATTTTATGCTGTTCAAAAATATTTGTTTAAGTAGCTCAATTAATTAATAGTACAACTGCTTTCAAAGGTTATTAAGAGGTGTCTTTCTAAAATAATATATTTAAACATTTAAATACATACATATATAAATACATACATATGTAAATACATAAACAATATAGGGAAAAAGCACCTCCAAGTGGCAATACTTGAGTATTATACAGACATTATGAAGAAATCCTGCTTAAAGAAAGTCATAGTAATTGATTAAACTACTAACTCCTCATAGGCTGTGATTATTATATTTCACTGGATTTTACTCCATAAACTTTTTTTTTTTTGTAAATATTTATTTATTTGAAAGACAAAGTTACAGAGAGAGGTAGAGACACAGAGAGAGGTCTTCCATCCACTGGTTCACTCCCCAGATGGACACAATGGCTGGAGCTTTGGCGATCTGAAGCCAGGGGCCAGGAGCCAGGAGCCAGGAGCTTCTACCAGGTCTCCCACATGGATGCAAGGGCCCAAGGACTTAGACCATCTTCTACTGCTTTCCCAGGACATAGCAGAAAGCTGTATTGGAAGTGGAGCAGCCGAAACTAGAACCCGCACCCATATGGGATGCCGGCATTTCAGGCCAGGTCATTAACCCACCTCACCACAGCGCTGGCTCCGTTATTCCCTAAACTTAACATGGTTGTCATATACAGATGCTTAATTCTTGCTGAATTTTTTTAAAGATTTATTCTATTTATTTGAAAGGCAATTACAGAGAGGGAGAGACACAGAGAGAGAATCTTCATCCACTGTTTTGCTCCTCACATAGCCAAATGGCCAGGGCTAGACCAGACCAAAGCCAGGAGCCAGGAGCTTCTTTCTGGTCTCCCATATAGGTGCAGGTGCCAAAGGATTTGGGCCATCTTCTGTTGATTTCCCAGTGCAGGAAGCCAGATGTGAAGTGCAGCAGCTCCAACTGGTATAATATGGGATGCCAATGTCATAGGCAGCAACTTTATCTGCTATGCCACAATGCCAGCCCCAGTGCTTGCTGATCATAAAGGAGGGTCTGAACTTAAGGCAACCTGGACAAGGAGGAAAAATTAAATAATGCATTATATCATCTTCCATTGTCTACAAGAAGGAGCAAGACTAATACTCAAGGAGAATTGTGTGACTTCAAATAGCCATGATTACATAGACAGAATTTAATGTGGCTTTTGCAATCTACTTTTTAAAAGTGAAGTGTTTCATAATTGATAAATTAAATCCTAATTCTATTGAGGTGTTTCTGAGATACTAGCAAATATGAGGATGCTTGAATTTCTGTTTAATACCACAAAAAATCATGTAACAGTGTTTTTAAATTTGTACAGAAATTCTCAGGGAAAAAATTCCAAAGAAAAAACACCTAGTGCAAAGCATGTGTTATTTTTCATTTCCTTTATTTCTTTTAAATATAAGTTGTATAGGAATACAATTTATCAGAATTGTGTCTACTTCCTTTGCCTCTCACATGATTGTGATAAAGAATGTGAATAAATAGCAAAAGCTTTGAGTGTAAGATTTCACAAAAATGAAAATAGAAACATTTTTAAATTATGAAGTATGTATAATAGTTGATAGCCCAACCTCATGGTTCATCAGTAAGTGTTCTTGATGTAACAGAAAAATAGATGTCTATGTTGAATAGTGTATTGGCAATTCATCTCTAACATAATGTTTAGTTAGAAAACTTACAGTTCAAAATTACAGAGATAAGAGCTGAAAGACAGATTTGTGAAGGATATGCAGCTCTCAAGATTAGTGGATTTCTGACTTCGGATAAGCCAGCAGTGGGCACAGTGAGGGTGCAGTGGTGGTGGGGGCTTCTGTGTGGATGGGAGGGGATGTTTAGGAAAACACATGCATCCAACTGAAACAACATGGTATTTCTGCTTACACTATCCATTGCATGTAATGAGAGCTACATCTAGTTGCATATTCCACTTATGAGTTACCTTTTCATTGCAAGCATTGGAGGCAAAAATAAAGGAACTAAGTACTGGGGCCAACATTGTGGTGCAGTGGGTTAAGTTTCCTTTGCGTATCAGAATGTTGGTGCCAGTCCCAGCTGCTTGGTTTCGATTCAGTTCTCTGCTAATGCTCCTGGAAAAGGAACACTATGGTCCAAGTGCTTGGGCCTCAAGCAGTCATGTAGGAGACTGGGATGGAGTTCCCATTTCCTGGTATCTGCCTGGCCCAGACCTTGTTTATGAGACCATCTGGGGAGTAAACCAGCAGATGGAATATCTCTCTTCTCTCTCTCTCTCTCTCTCTCTCTCTCTCTCTCTTACTCTGCCTTTCAAATAAATGAAATAATTCATGAAAAATAATTGAGTATTGAAGAAACTAATGTATTCTAGAGTCATCTACAAGATATTCCTGTTAGTAAGATTAGAATTTTGCCAGAGTTGAGAGCTTTCAACATGAGAAAAAGTTTTAAACTCTGAAACGTAACCCCAAGCTCCTAAGATAATGCGACTGCAGGTAAAAGAGACCGCCTTTTGAGACAATATGCTAAGAAGTAAATTTTAAGCTTTATACAATAATATTTTATGAGACATGAAATATTAAGCATTACATTAAATAAATGTGATTGGATTTATAACATTCCATTAACATGCAGCACTCAAAAATTAAAAATAATAGAAGTAATGCAGTGACTCATCACATCCTGTTTTTGCATTGAGTTTTTATGCATAGAAAACACAAATACACAAAGCAGAGGATTTTTTTTTAATTCT